CTCAGGCCCTCCCTATCGGCTAAAATTCATGTTTGGGAACTTTCAAAACATATGGAACATAGGTTATCGATCACGCTGAACCTTATGACAATATTTATATTTCGAGAAAGCTTGAAAAACTAGTGAACTTCTATTCTAACACCATGAACTTCTAAAATAGTTTTAAAAACCAACAGAAAGTACCGTGGATTTTGAGCATTTTTTGTTGAAGCTTTGAGATCAAGCGAATGTTTCACGAAAATATCGCTACAAAATACGGTTAAGCATATAAAATGGAGTATATGTTGACATTTTGAAGCAGTTTAGATCAATTTTGACTGAATTATGAATTCTTCAACTTTTGGTGAAAATACTGAAAACTAGATTATTTTTGCTCTAATAGAGGGTTTTCCTACACTTTTTCGAAAAATAAACATTGTCATAAGGTTCAGTGTGATCGATAACCTATGTTCCATATGTTTTGAAAGTTCCCAAACATGAATTTTAGCCGATAGGGAGGGCCTGAGAAAATGCCTAGAACTTGTGTAGTTTAAAAAGGACAGTCTAGAGGTTCGAATAACCTGTTAGAATTCAAAATACATTATTTCTGTTGAAATTTTTTCAGATTTTGTTCGACGAGGTATAACTCATCGAACATGGTGTATACACCATGGTAGACCTAGTTTCTCCATAGATTTCTTTTCCAGTAGCTTCTCTGTCAAATACTGAAAACCGCATGGTTCTAACTCTTTCTGTGAAAAGGTTATTGAAAAAATACTTTTTTCCATTCTATTTTGAGATGGATAGTAGATTACTAAATTTTCTCTACTCTAACTTCAAACATCACATAATTGAATTTATTATATTCCAAGAGAAATTTCGATGTCATATACTCAAATTCCCTGAACGCTATCAGGAAATGTATAGATTCCCGAGGGAATGTGCACATTCCCTGTAATATATATTACAGAGGATTAGTAAATGTGCGAAGAAAGGAAAAAGATTTGCTTTTAGAAAAATCATTTATTGCTAACCATTTCTTAATGAATGTTTGAAGAAGAAAGTATATTTTCGACTTACTACATGAACTAAATTTTTGTACACGATGATTATACCGGTCAGTAACATACAAATTATTATTGAGATCAAATTTGATTGTATAGGGATAATTCAACTGATTCGATCCATTGCCAGGAACACCAGTACCAGCAATGATTATTCCACTAGTAGCATCAGGAATATATTTCATTATACGATGATTAGAGTAATCAGATACATAAACATTACCATAAAAGTCTACTAAAACTGATGATGGATAACCCAACTGGTTTAAATCTGATCCTGCTCCATTTCCACCTCCAACTAATTGACCACCATCTGATCCTTGAGACCATCTTATTATTCGATGATTATCAGCATCAGCTATATAAATTGAGCCATCAAATGTAACAAATATACCAGCAGGCCAACTTAATTGATTGAGAGATGATCCTTGTCCATTTCCACCAGCTACAATGAGCCCTCGGGGAGAATTTGGTACCCATTTCATTACTCGATGATTGCCAGTATCTGATACATAAATATTACCACTATTGTCAACAAATATACCATCACATGTCGATAGTTGGTTCGGAGCATCTCCATTTCCATTTCCTCCGGCCACCGTTGTAACTGCTGTGGTTCCAACCGTCCATTTTAGAACTCGATAATTAGCGTTCTCTGCAATATATAAATTATTGTTTAGGCCAAGAAATAATGCAGATGGACTTGACAATGAAAAATCATCAGGTGGGAAAACGGTAATACCGGTGTCAGATCCAACAGACCATTTCTGTATCCGATTATTCTCCCAATCTGCTATATAAATATTTTGATTATTATCAATCGCCAAGTCGACTGGTTCATCAAGTTGGTTTTGTCCAGAGCCCTGACCATTACCACCTGCAACGGTTGTTGTAGATAAACACATTGTTGTTGTTACTGATGTTTCTACTAAAAACAATAATTTTTAAAAGTTAGTCAAATAAAAACATCATGATTCCCTACAATTCTCCCTATATGTCGACACAAAAGAGCCATAGCGTGTTTTTCACTGATATTAAGCAGCGAAACCCGCACCAAATATTCAAAGGTTGAATGATGAAAACCGAATTTAATATCATGGTCTAGTCAGACTTTTGTAAATTTTGCATGAAATTTCAGAATACCTCAGGTGAACAGGTTCCAGTCCTGGGCTTCAAGAAAATCCAATATCCCGTTTGAACCACTGCAGATCAAGGTCTGGTTTGAGTCTCGTTTTAAATTCGACACTCTGAACTTTCTAGTCAAGTACAAAAATCAAAGTATTAGTATTTAAAGTTTTGAGCTATGATCTGGTTTTCCAAAAATTCTATGAAAACTTACATTTAAAATAAATTTTTTGTATTAAAGAAAGATGCGGTCAAGTCGTCTCTTTCTAATGGTGAAAACCCGAACTATCTAGCTCCTTCTGTTTGCGAGTTATTGAAAAAATGGCCATGACTTATTCTTTTTTGGATGAACAATGGCTAAAGGTGTGTTCGTGAAATGGAAGCCCAGTGGAACCTTAATTGCCACAGGTTCGGACGTGCTATCGAATGGAGTCTTAGGACTGGACTAGAACCCGGCGATTTGAAATCGCGTGGATCATACGTAATCGATCGTGTTGAATCTAGTGGTAATGTTTATCTTCGAGAGGAATTCATAAAGCTGGTACAGATCGAGATTAACAAACGTTGGTATTTATGTGCGCTTGGTCCAATGTAGTCTCTGGCACATAGTGCTCACAATTCCCCGCAAATCGTGCTCTTTGCGTCGTTTGTACTACGTTCTTACTTTAGCTATCTGGAAAATAGTCAACTGACAAAGTAACAGCATTCTTACCTGATACTGATAATGTGTTTGGTATTCTAATAATAAATAATATGCTTCAGCTTAAAGAATAGTGTAGAGCATGTCACTTACACTATGAGTACGGTTACTGTTATAAATATGAATACAAATAATTTTTGCTTTTCGGGAAGAGCCATAATTGCTAAGTGCAATCTATAAAAACAAAATGGAATCATTTATTTTTCTAGAAGTCGTGCAGCATTTTTTGTACTTGAAATACTATTTCTAAAACAAAATGTCATTCAAACCGAGCAGTACGATTTGGAACAAAAACTGTATTGTACTGTATTATCTAATAAAAGATTCATAGTTCCATCAAGATCAAACAAAAGCGTTTTAAACCTTATGGTTTTTCATTTTTTCAGCGCAAAAACTTTCTATAAATTCAAAGTACTCCGGTTATGTAAGGTGAATTTCCAGAACCATCTAAAAATCGTACTACGAGTACCAAAAACTCATTGCTTCTACGATTGTAAGCACACACGAGAGAATGTGTTTCCATCCAATCAGTCATAATCATTCCAGAAAAGCGCACGAAACTCTGTTTACAAAAAATTTTACGCGTTTAGCGAGTATCGAATAATAACGCGCAAGAAGCTGCGAGTGTGTAAAAATAAACCTCGCAGAAACACGCATGTAAAGCGTGTGTTTCATGCGGTTTATTTTTACACACTTTCAAATGCTTTGGTTTGATTTTGATGAAACTGTGAATTTTTTATTGTAGAATGCACATAAGATAAAACAGTTGATTTTACCCAAAATGACGTTCGAGACAGTTTTCTCAATTTTATTATTAAAACAAACATGGGCACTACATTGTCAAAACATTTGTAACTAAGAAAAATCACTAATTTTCTATCTTATTCACTTTATTTAGTAATAACATAATAACAAATCCAAATAACCGCATCCCCAACACTCTAAAAAACACAGCTGTTTATACATAATATTTACATATAACTGAACACACGCGGAACATATGGAAATAGGGATAATGAAGTGAGTAGAACAGGATATAATATGACGTCAGACGAATAGAAAAGAACAAGGTGCACGGCATTGACTGGAACTATGAGGTTAGCAGAATCGAGGAGGAAAGGAACAGTCACATTTCTAAGCATATGATCTCTTTCTGTCTTCATGACATAACACAATTGAAAGTGGAATATCATTAGGAGCAACGTGAACAGTCGAGATAAATACTACTCACTAAGCAATATTTGACATGTTAAGACGAAAGAAAAATGCTGCTGAACATGCTGTAAATCTTCTGTGTAAAGCACCCAACATATGACGGCATCGGGTAGTTGTGACAAAAATACGTTCTTCCATTCTCAATTGTTTAACAGATGTACGTTGCTCTTCATAAGAACGATTTGCGTTGTTTAGATTTAGAAGATCTAGAGTATGTTCAGTTTTAATGAGATTGAAAATGGAACGAAGTCGTACTTATACATATTTAACTCCACAAAATTCGCACAAAAAATAGCACCACGACGATACCTCACCTAAGAGAGCCTAACTTTCTATCACGTCATCGAAACCTTCACTTCAATAAATCCTTTTTCATCATTAAGTAAGCTTCCTACAATTGTTTCAACTGACAAATTTTCTCTTTTTCGTTTTTTCAGTATTCTGTTAGTAGCCTGAGAAATCGAGGGAAGGAAGAGTAAAATTCAAAGATGGAAGATTCGGACTTTCGCACGATTATTTTTTTCAAGAAAGTCAGTTTTTCTAACGCACTTCGACACCAACGAGGCCAACACCTACGTCCCACACTGCTGACTATGTTGAGTTTTATGATGATCGATATAGTGATGAATTTTGGAGCAACGCTGAACTTCTTGACAGATGTGAAGAATAATTATACGGCTGTCGCGATCTAAGTTTTTGACAGCCTATAACCTTACCTATAAACGTCTTTTAAATCTAAACCTAATCTGATCTACGAAACTCATAACGTAAACCAAATCTAACCTATTAATTTTTTCGTAACCAAAGCTAGGTTGACATAATATGGCACAGTGGGCAATTTTTGATAGGCACGTGGATATTTGGTTTTAAAGCATTCTAAGAACCTCAAAAAACTATTTTTATAGGTTTTCGTATATGCTCTTTCCATAGGAGTGCTTTTCAGAGCTTTAGAGTATTTCAAACTGGGTTTTCTAGAGATCATTGGGTTTCTAGAGGCTAAAATGGCCTTTAAGATGCCTATTTTTTGTGAAAAAATTGTTTTTCTAGGTTTTTCAGTATGCTGAATTCAAGTTTAATGAAAACGTTTTTTCAGAACCTTGCAGAAGGTTTTCTGGAGATCCAGGGCTCTGGAAAACCTTTTTTTTTGAAAATCAGAGCGAAGTGTTTTCTATCTTCTAGAAGATGCTCATTACGATGCTGTCGTGTGAAAAACACTTTGTCACACTCTGCCTAGTGCCCACCACCACCCGTTGATCGTTTTTTAATGGTACGAGTCAAGTCACTAAGCTTCTTTTGCTTACTTTAGAGCCTTAAAACAGAGTCAGGCGCTTTATTTCACTGAGTTTACGACCTGATTTGGCTCAAAAATATTTAAAAAATATAACTTAAAATATTCATGCACATGCTAAAAGTAAAAAGACTAAAAGATAAATAGGATTTTTAAACTAAGGCTGGACTTTTGGTGGAAAATGACTTTGCTCAGAGCCAGCTGGTAGACACATCACTCGATGCAGTTTCTCGCGCTGATTCTGAATCTGTCGTTACTTTTGTCTAAAAGTGCTTCTGAGCCGAGAAAATCGTGAAAAAACCTGAAAACCCAAAGTTTTTTGAAAAACCTATATCTCGGCCCAGAAGCATTTGGGCTATTTTGGGCTAATACAGTACACGTATCATATAGAGAAGAGTGTTCTCTGAAAGTTTCATTTTATTTGAAGTTTAGGAAAAATTAGGAAACTCACTTTACTAAACAGGTGTTTAAGAAAAAACTCTGAGCGTAGAAAGAAAGATTATTTTTTTCGTAGGAAAGGAGTTAGAGGACAAATTTTTTTATAAACAGGTAGACCACGAGCTCTACTTTCAGAATATGTATGATTTATTCCTTCACTCTTCCGTCACTCTTTCTGCCTTCTATGAAAAAATGTATTTTTTTAAAAGATAGCTAAAATCCGACCTTTTTCAGGTCCTCAGTTTTTCAAGTAAGTTAGAGAGTTAGAAAAACATTTTTGGATCAAAAAATTCGTCATTAGCTAAAGTATATTGGGCATTATTCATATCTCAGAAAATCTCACTTTCATTTTTCCACCTAATGTCCACGTGATTGCCCACTGTGTATGGCCCATGCAGTGTTTCATAAAACCGAGTTTTAGAAGTCGAAACGTTAGCTTTGAACTTCAGCTGTGTATCTATTTTTAGCAAACGTAAGTGTTTTTCTCAGTACTTTCTTTTTTGGTTGTATCATTTTCTAGTATAAAAACAGCTCACGAGGGAATCACACGAAGTTATAAATCGATCTCGGGTTTTGACTATTTTCCCTTACCTTCTGGTGAAATGTTCGAGTCTCAATATCTCAAGCCAAAAAAATTCATTAGCACCGAGTAATGTTCAGTCGTACTACTATGACCATGGGCTACAACTGTGCCACGTTTGAAATCAAAATTCGAAAGTCGGATTTTGCTCGAAATCCAAGCACTATAGGCAAAAAGTGCCTGAAATTCAGTATCTTAGCAACAAAGCGCCATGGGGATGCACCAAGTTGGGGTATTTCACTACTCGTTAGGGCCTTTCTAGCAAAAATAGTCCCAAATCAAAATTCATTTATGACCGCGGGTGGTTCCCTCGTCAGTTGAAACTAGAGCATCTCAATCAGAACGTTATCGATTGAGCGCTTTACTTAAGAGATTCCGGGATTACATCCGTCAGACTAGTACAAGTGAGCGCTGGTGCTATTAGCGCTAAGGGAGAGTACAAGAAAGCCTTAGCACGTGGTCAGAGGGGAATATCTGGTATCTTCTGTGTTAGTTATTTCACCCCATAAGACTACGCTGTATTATCCAGAGTGTTGACGATTTTAATAAGTAGTTCAAAATATTGTTTTTCGTTTAGTTAAAAACACTTTATCAATACCCTAACCTACAATCTAACCTATAAAAATCATAATACCTTATCTAACCTATACGTTAGGTTAAATTTAACCGGAATAAATAAATGCACGCATTAGATAGAAGAAAACATAATTTATGGGTTCATTAATAATCATGGAAATTGAATTAAAAAACCATTAGCACTTGAGTTATTGTGCATACACAGAGAAGGAAAAAAGAGGAATGATGGCGAGGTATCAAATAACGATGATAAAGTAATTACTGTTTTCCTCGGTGGAGCTGTTAAATATGTCTGAAGATGAACGTTGAGAACGAACAGTATTAGACATTGATTCACAAATGCTTTCCATGTAAAGCTAGAACCGCTATTGTAGAAACGACAGTTTTCTAAATTGTGGTTTACATCAGAAATTCTTTGATACACTTTATAATTTAAATGCAGACACGTACGGAGTTATGCATGTAAATACACAATTATTTAGATAGTGCTGGGTAGACTGAAGAGAAAAAAAAGAAAAAGAAAAGGCAAAATGAACTTTTGATTACCAAACATTTGTAGATAAGAACTATCAGTAAAAAACGAACATTTTTGATCACCACACTTTTTAACAAGTTGTCACGTCTTACCCTCTCTTTTCTGTTCATCATCTCCAGCGTGGTTGGATATTTATCTTAGTAAAACTTCTTGTAACCAAGATCTTCAACTAGAAAATGTTATAGAGTGTTCGAGAAAACCTTAAGAAATTAAGATCTTGAAATCTGTTGAATCTTTACATTTTCTTATCAAGATCTTACTGGGAAATTTGAAGAAGTCAAGATCTTGGTTACAATAAGTTGTGCACTAAGGTATCATTCTTATCAGTGGCTTACATTCAATTATTTTCTGACAGTCATGTCGGTTAATAACGCACCATGACAGTCATGCACCTGCTCAGTTCGTGTAAACATTCGATTGGATTAGCTCGACTCTTAAAGCTGTACGTAATCCAATATGTTGTTATAAGAGCACAATGAATAAATAAATTTGTAAAATGTCACATGCATCACCTATAGAATAATTT